TATATATACATATATACACACACACACACACACAGTTATGGCCACAAATATTGGCACCTCTGCATTTCTGTCAGATAATGTACCACTTCACGCAGAAAATTGTTGCAATTACAAATTTTTAGGCATTCTCATGTTTATTTGTTTTGTTTGTATTGGAATGACACAAAACAGTGGACAAAAAAAACCCCCCAAATGTGACACATTCCACAAAAAACTCCAAAAATGGACTGGACAAAATATTGGCATCCTCAACTAATATCTGGTAACACAGTCCTTGGAAAAAATTACTGACATCAATCACTTCCTTTAAAAGGAGAACTATGGGGTCAGGGCTTTTCCCCATAGTTCTCCTAAGGGTAACGCAAAGCTCAGTATACCGCGAGCTACAGCTCACGGTATACTGAGACGCCGCAGCCGGATCCCGACAAGACTGTCTGGATCCACCCAGCTGTGTGATCGACAGCTGGCTCTGCCTATCTAGGAGGCAGAGCCAGCTGTACCCGCCCCCTTCCCCTTCCGTTCCGCCAGTCAGCGCTGGAAGATCGGGCAGGGGAGGGGGAATCCCTGCAGGGAGTCGTGAGTGACAGTCATGGCTCTCTGCAGAGATAGATCGAAAAGTGAGCGAGCGACGGTATGTGTTCGCTCACTTCCCGATCTATTGAGCTGACTTGTGACAGTTTCATCAAAGCAACCCCAAAACATCAGAAAACCTCCACCATGTTTGACTGTAGGGGCTGTATTTTTTTTTTCTTTTATGCCGGAAATGGCAGACTAATGCCTTTATTATTTCTTTGTTCTTTTAAACCAGGAAGCTGATATGATGCCAGAACTACTTAATATACACAACATGAATGTGTACTCTCTTTTCATCCTTCGCTTTGTGCTCCTTTATTGTTTTTAAATTCTGCAAATTTTTATTGAGGACACATAAAATACAGTGTAAAAGTCAGAATATAAACAGTAGCATCCAAATCAGCTGTCAAGAGGTATAATATCTTCAAAGAAAACAAAAACAGCAAAATTGAATGATACGGTTAAAGAACAATAGCAGCTTCAGTCAACGATCCTGAAGCAGATAAACTGCGTGGAATCAAGCAATTGGAGGAGCTAATAACACTCCGTTGTTTAACTCAGGTAGGGGGAGAAAATAAATAAAAGGTTGCGCATCCATGTAGTGGAGGAATAGGACAAGAGCCTGCGGTCTCACGTGGTCAGACATACTAAGCTGTGTGAGTGAGCAGATAGAGAGAAGAGTGAGATGTGGAAAGCAAAAACAAAGACTCAAGTAGAAGACAAGGACAGCAAGGGGGTAATTTGTTTCTTTAAAAGGCCTCATTTCTTTTTCTGAAAACAGCAGAATGATGGGCTTTACCAAAAAGCTGTAAATTTGTTTAGTCTGTCCATAGCACATTCTACCAAAAAGATTTTGGCTTCCTCAGGTAAGTTTTGGCAAACTCCAATCTGACTTTGTTATGTTTCTGTGTCAGCAGTGGGGTCCTCTTGGGTCTCCTACCATAGCATCCCTTTTAATTCAGATGGCGACATATAGTGCGAGCTAATGAATAGATATCTTGCTGCACTCCTTACCAGATAAAAGTAACCTAATAGACAGGCGAGTGCTTGCAGTAACCGCAGATGGCATCGTGAATAAACTGAATTGTAGAAATGTCAACAGCACACCAGCATTTAGTGAAATAAGCAAAAGTCCATTTATTGAAGCAACAATGGCATTCAAAAACTAGCGCTTTCGGGGCCACACAGGGTCCCCTTCATCAGGCTCAAAATGACACCAGATAAATGAACAACATAGAATATATAGACATACCAATCACGTGCCTAGTGTGAAAACATCCTCCCACTTTACAGACATCCAATCAATAATCAAAAACCACCAAAAGAAGGATTTGAAACAGGACTTACTGACTGAAAATGTGCGGAGAAAGGGTGCGATCTGCTGTCACAGCCGTGCAGAAAAAAATCAGTCTGCTGCCAATGATACAGGACGCTCAGCTGCTGGCTGGCTACACCCATGTACACCAGCGCAGGCCCCATGTGGAAAAGCAGGGCCTTTCCTGTTGATCAGCTTTGATGGAATTGTGCACTGAAGACCCGCCCTCTGTCTTTCAGCGCATGCGTGGCACGCATCCGCTGTGTGCAATATTATATAATATTGCACACAGCGGATAAGTGGATGCAGGTGTGTGATGTAAAAATCTTAATATGTAAAGAAACGAGACCAATCTTGAGATGACATATGGGGTTTGGGATGCGGAAATAGAAGCATCAGTGTAGACTATCACAACAAAGACTAATAAAATAAATGCTGCTCATGTGCGTGACCATAATCACCTGCTGTCAAGGAAACAATTCAGAGACAAGTTGGAGGTTAAAGGAGAACTATGGGGTTAAAAAACAGCTCACCTCATAATTCTCCTTTAAGCCCCTGGGTTTTACATAATCAAGCGTATAGATCCAAAACGCCTCTCTCTGGAGGAGCTGTTTGGACCTATCGCCACCTCTAGGATGCAAGTGTACCTGCTCAATAACAGTGCCCCTCAACTCATGTATATGATGTTTTTCCAAGGCAAAATGTACATTCTCCCAAAAGGATTTTGGTTTCCTCAGGCAAGTTTTGGCAAACTCCAATCTGGCTTTATGTTTCTGTGTTAGCAGTGGGGTCTTTCTGTATCTCCTACCATAGCATCTCTTTTCATTCAGATGGCGAGCTGACACAGTTGTACCCTGTGCCTGAAGGTCAGCTGGAATTTGTCTGGAAGTTGATTGAGCATCTTTATCCAGCATTCGAATAATCATTGGTTGCAATCGTTGATCAATTGTTCTCTTTCGTCCACATCCAGGGAGATTAGCTACAGTGCCATGGGCTGAAAACTTCTTGACAATGCTGTGCACAGTGGACACAAGAACAGTAAGATCTCTGGAGATGTAGCCATCATTGGCGCCTCAACGAGTCGTTGCTTACCTTTGATACTTCCTGTACTAAAATTAGAAGGGCGCTACTGAATTATTTTTCCCTCAACGTGGACTCGGTCTCGTCCCCGGTTTCCCTTTGGGAAGCACACAAGGCCACCATGCGGGGGGAAATGATCAGCATAGCCTCCTCTATCAAGAGGGAAAGGAACAAAGGGATCCTAGCTCTCTCTCGCAAGCTGGCGGACTTGGAGGAGACCTGGAAGGCCTCTCCCACGACCTCCCTCAAAACGCAAGTAGAGGCTGCAAGGGTGGAGCTGAACTTGCTATTGAATGCCCAAGTGGAGAAGGAGTTGCACTGGAAAAAACAGCTTTTTTACGCTAGGGCCAATAAACCCGGTCCCCTGTTGGCGAAACAACTCAAAATGTTGCCCTTCCTTCGCCCAGGGGTGAAACTGCGCTCCCCTACTGGGGGAACCACCGCTAACCCTGTTAAAATTGTGGAGGCCTTTAGTACTCACATGAGTGCCCTTTATAACAAATCTCCCGTTTTTGATGTTAATAAAGCAAATGCCTTGTTTCAAGACCTTCAGTTTCCTGGTCTTCCTGTGGAGTCTCGTACTCAACTTGACTCTGACATTGAGGAAAATGAAGTTCTTGCTGCCATTTCTTCCTTGAAAGCGAATAAATTCCCGGGACCTGATGGCTTCTCAAATCTCTATTATAAAAAAATTAAAGATGTCCTAGCTCCATTCCTAACTTGCCTATTTAATGCTCTAAAGTCGCAGCACGCTCTTCATCCTTCCTCTTTGGAAGCTAACGCTGCTATGATTTCCATACCAGGAAAGGACGCAACGGAGGTTGCAAACTATCGTCCCATCTCACTACTAAACACGGACGTGAAACTCCTGACTAAAATTTTAGCCTCTAGGGCCAATAGATTCATAGGTAATCTTATTCATAGAGATCAGGTGGGTTTCACCCCTCTCGGACAAGCAGGAGATAAAGTCCGCAAGGTGGTACATTTAATTGATGTGATCCGCCGTAGATCGGCACTTGGCTTTCTCCTATCTCTCGATATTCAGAAGGCTTTCGATACAGTCTCTTGGGACTATCTTCAATATATACTATCCAGATGGCACTTTGGTCCGGCGTTCCAATCATGGGTGGCAGCACTATATAACCAACCTTCGGCCCGCATAGTTTATTCGGGATTCTCCTCCCCCCTGTTCCAGGTCACTAGAGGCACGCGACAGGGCTGCCCCGTCTCCTATTCTTTTTATCTTGGCAATAGAACCCTTAGCTATGCTCATCAGAAGCAACCCCTCCATCAGACCCGCACAGCTTAGCCCCCTTCTCCTTCATTTTTTAAAAGTATGGGATTCAGTTAAATATTCTAGTCACCTGCTCTCCCCTCACCTCCCCCTAACCACACTGATAGGGAATCCAATGTTCCCACCGGCGGTAGAGTCACCCTCAGCCTTCACCTGGTGGCATGAAAAGGGGTATACTCTGGTGTATCACTTTCTTGATGGTACCAGGACTCGTACTTGGGACAACATAGTTGCTAAATCTAGTCCCCCGCCACGGGAATTCTTTCGTTATCTCCAGCTGAGGCACTGGACTCAAACTCTCCTCCAAAATGGTATTCCAATATCCCTTTCATCAGTGTTAGAAAGTCGTTACCTGAAAGATCCCTACGCCCCGAAACGTATCTCGACACTCTATTCCCAATTGACAGCCCCTCCCACCTCACCACCCCCAACGTATGTGGCCAAATGGCATGCAGACCTGGGATCTATCAAAACTACCGAGGAATGGAGTCTAATATGGAGGTCTATCTCTAAATGCTCCCTTAATATCCTGTCCCAAGAATCAGCATATAAGGTCCTCCTGAGATGGTATCTGGTCCCCGCCAGAATAGCCCACACCTTCCCATCCTACCATAAAAATTGCTTCCGGGGATGCTCTTCAGAAGGTAATGTCATGCATATATGGTGGGCCTGCCCATCAGCCATTCGATTCTGGTCGAAGGTCTGTAGATTCATCTCCTTCTTATTTAGCACAACAGTCCGCAGAGACCCTTGGCAAGCTCTAATGCATCTGAAAATTCCGCAACTAAGGCGGCATCAGCAGAAATTAGCAGATTTTGCTTTCCTGGCGGCGAAACAGACAATTGCCCATTCATGGAAGAAGCAGATGATACCTTTTGGAGAGTTCAAACAACGCATGCAGGGCTTCTTTATCAATGAACAGCTGTCTAGTGTATTATCTGACTCCCACGCCAAATTTCGGAAGGTATGGTTGCCGTGGGTGGAACTCGCGCTTCCAGACCTGAACCCTGATATTCTCTAGCTCACATGAGACCGTTGGCACCTATGATTCTCGATATGGATCTCGAGGCAGTCGTTCTCCCGTACCTCCCTCTCCCCCTCTTCTGGTTTCTTTTCTATCTTTTGACCCTTTCTCCGTGTTATTCTACTGACTATCAGGGCTATAATTGCGGAATCCCAAAATGGGTACGCAAGATTTTCACAGATGAGCCTAGCATAGCCACAAGTCGATTCATCGGACTGAGATGAGTCGTAGGTAAAGTCAGTTTTATGTATTGTTAATACGCATACCGGAATGTTGTCCGGTCCCGTGAGTTTCAATTTGACTAAGTGAATATCCATACTTAGTATGTTACATGAATACCTATATTGTATGCCCTCTTTGGGGTTTTCTGTATTTACTATATGCACTTCTATGCAAAAATTCAAAATAAAAACATTTTTTGAAAAAAAAAAAAAAAAGATCTCTGGAGATGGTCTTGTAAACTTGAGCTTGTCCATGTTTTTCCACAAAAACTTGGAATGCAATTATTTCTTGCAATTTGGAGAAGGTGCCAATAATTTTGTCCAGTCCATTTTTGAAGTTTTGCATGGAATGTGTCAGATTTGGCTTTTTTTTTTCTCAACTTTTTTGTGTCATACCAATACAAACAAAATAAATAAACATGAGAATGCCTAAATATTTCTAATTGCAATCAATTTTCCATGCAAAGTGGTGTATTATCCGACAAATGCAGGGGTGCCAATATTTTTGCCCATGAATATATATATACACACAGAATGTGTATGTATGTATACACCGAGTGGCCAGTTTATTATGACCACCTGACGTTTGTAGGCAAATTAGCTATAATTTTGCGCTGAAGTTGCTAGGCCAGACCATTATAAATAGGGAAGCAGGTTGTTTACTACAACCATAGAAGTGATTTTTTTCGGAAGATATGGGTAAACAACGAGATTTAACAGCCTTTGAAAGTGGGATGATTGTTGGCGCGAGCCATGGAGTGAGTATCAGCAAAACAGCAGAATTCGTTACATTTTCAAGAGGGGCACATTGTTAAAGGAGAACTATAGGGTCAGTGTTTTTCCCCATAATTCTCCTTAGGGTAACGGGAGGACACAAACTAGCGTCCTCCCGTTACCCTAAGCTTAGTATACCGCGAGCTACAGCTCGCGGTATACTGAGACGCCGGAGCTGGAGCGGATCCCGACCTGGACGTCGGGATCCGCCCAGCTGCGTGAGTGACAGCTGGCTCTGCCTATCTAGAGGCAGAGCCAGCTGTACCCGCCCCCTCCCCGTCCGTTCCGCCAGTCAGTGCTGGAGGATCGGAGCAGGGAGAGGGGAATCCAGCCCCTCCCCGTCACTGCAGAGAGCAAATGACAGGATCGAGAGGTGAGCGAACCCGGTATGTGTTCGCTCACCTCCCGATCTACTGAGCCGACCTGTGACAGTCTCATTGTCACAGGTCGGCTAGAACTATGAGGGGAGTGGAAACCACTCATCTCATAGTTCTCCTTTAAAGTGTTTAAAGACTGGACTGTCAGCCGAAAATCTGGGTCTGAACGTGCAAATTTTGCCCGTCAGCGACTAGTGAATGTTAGGGCAGAACTGAGAGTGGCAAGACTGGTACAAGACAACAGAAGGGCAAAAGTGCAGTGTCAGATTCCTCGCATTACCTTTCAATATCTCGTGGAGTCACGAGCGGCCCAACGAAGTCATCTCGTGGAGTTATCTCAAGGCCCAACGAAGTACTGATGGGGTGGTTATAATAATCTGGTGTGTGTGTGTGGTGTGTGTGTGTGTGTGTGTGTGTCTTGAAAAATTTGATCAGCATGACTGGACTATAGCCTTGCAATTTATGTTAAAACATTTTTGGGGACAGATAGAGCTTTCTTTTGGAGGTATGTAATCACCACGGGGGGGTTAATTTTAGTAAAACATAAAAGTCGGGGTAACGTCGGGTAAATAGACACCAAACATGTCAAGCCTTAAAATTGCGTGCACCCCCGCAAAAATAATGCCCATAGGCGACGATTAAAATGCTTTTACTGCTCATCAGTTTAGTGTTATCAGTGATTAATGGCTCTAACATTTTTGTGCTCACTCCGACGTTTGCGGCGATATGCAACATGTGCGGCACAATCATCGTTTTCGCAGGTAGGTGCACCCGACGCATATCTGCGCGTGTATGTGGAGGGCGGGGACTTTAAAAAAAAAAAATCTCTTTTTTAATGCTTCTTTAATTTTTGTATTACTTTTTTTTTTTTAAACACACAACTTTATTGCTATTACATAGGGGGCTAAGAAGCCCCCTATGTGATAGCCAATTTACATTATGGAGACATCAGGGGTCTCCAAGACCCCTAATGTCACCTAAGGACCCCCAGAGAAGCTGATGAAGCAGAGATCTGCTTCATCAGCTTCTGTAGCTGGAGAGTGACACTGAATGCCGGAAGTGATGTAATGTACATCACTTCCTGCATTCGGGGAGTGAGAGGAGATCAAAGGGAGTTCGTATACTAAACTCCCTTTGATCTCCTGTCACAGAGCCGTGCCGTTCCCGGCCGCATTTATTATGCATACAGTTAATGCATAAAATCTCTACGTTTAGTACTAAAAACTGTTTCGTTTCTTAATAGTTAGGTATTTATAAAATGCTGTGTATGAATGTCTTTCCTGTTCACCACTTGCAGGTGGAGGGACCAAAGAAAACCAAAACATTTTGTGAAAGCCTATTTAAAAATATACACTGAATTACGAAATTTTGTGTACATTTGTGAAATGAGAATAGCAAAATATCAAATTGCAAACACACCAAAATGATTCAGGTGAGGCACACTAAGTCCTCTCTCCTAGAAATGCAGAAGCAGGGGGGGAAAAAAAATATATATTGATGGAAAAACCTTGTCATTCAGTATATTCAAGTAGGCAGCTGACCTCATTTTTTGGTCACATTGCATTTCTGAACCTAGACCTGACCACCTGAAGCACCCTCAGATAATAACACTGCCCCCACAGGCTTGTACAGTAGGCACTAGGCATGATGGGTGCTTCACTTCATCTGCCTCTCTTCTTACCCTGATGCACCCATCACTCTGGAACAGGGTAAATCTGCACTCATCAGACCACATGATCCATTTCCATTGCTCCAAAGTCAAATCTTTATGCTCTCTAGCACAGTGAAGCATTTTTTTCCGGCTTAGCCTAACTTATGAGTGGTTTTCTTAAAGGAGAACTATGAGGAGTGATTTTCACTCAACCTCATAGTTCGACGTGTGACAATGAAACTGTAGACCCATCGGCTCAATAGATCGGGAAGTGAGCGAACACATACCGTTGCTCGATCGCTCACTTCTTGATCATGTCCCTGCAGAGAGCCTGTGAGTGTCCCCTCCCCTGTCCGATCCTCCAGAGTTGACTGGCGGAACGGATGGGGGAGGGGGCAGGTACAGCTGGCTCTGCCTCTAGATAGGCAGAGCTAGCTGTCACTCACGCAGCTGGGTGGATCTCGACAGTACTGTCGGGATCCGTCCCGGCTGCGGCGGTCTCAGTATAACGCAAGCTGCAGCTCGCGATATAATGAGCTTTGGGTCACGGGAGGACGCTAGTTTATGTCCTCCCGTGACCCTTAGGAGAACTATGGGGAAAAACACTGACCCCATAGTTCTCCTTTAAGGCTACAAAGCTGTTTAGTTCCAATCTCTTCAGTTCTCTTGGCACTGTGTGTAGAAATGCTTTTTTAATTTTCACTTTTAACCTCTTGCCGTCCGCCCGTAGTAAAAAAACGGAAGGACGGCACTGCTACATCTGCGGGTTGCCGTCTCCAGACGGCAATTTTTTTCTGCTTGCGCGCGCCCCCTAGTGGGCACGCACGGGCAGAAAAGACCCGACGATTAAACACACCCGTTACCGGGTGTTTCACATATAGGCGATCAGCGGGTCCATAGCCCGCTGATCGCCTATATGTGCTCGTTCGCGGCACCCCCCTCATCCGCTGCCCCATCTTGGATCCCGGGACCGGCTCCGAGGGCGTCAGGAGGAGGAGGACGGGAGATCAGCTCCTTGCTGATCCCCGTCCGGGCTGTGAATGCAGAAGTGATGTGTGTTACATCACTTCCGCATTCACCTGTCAGTCATCTGGAGAGAGAAGAAGCTGATAAAGCAGATCTCTGCTT